GTCTACATCCTCGATTATGAGCTCAAATTCGCTCTCGAAATCTGTATAACGATCTCCTCTGTGCCATATTAATCGTCGATTCTTTTGATGTAACTTTTCAAAGCAAATGACATTGTCGGCATTAGCAAAAAGGGCAGTGCATCAAACATCCCACAGGCTCCTAGCTGTCCAACTCTAAAAGTAAAGTAGGTGCTTATGTAGCCGTTGGGGTGTTATCACAATCATGCCATTGCAAAACATTGATAGCGCAAGCCCTGCGAGCTACCCAGATTTGTTAGCGGTTGTTTATTCCATTAGCTGCCTTATCACTCACTTCATTTTGCGGACGGACAGACAGACAAACTACTACTCACACAAACAAACCGACACACCAAGGCTACGGTTTCTATAATGAAGTGATCCTTTGTTCTTGATCGAGAATTCAACTCATGAAACGTATACAAAAGGCCCAACCGCTGCGGTAACAAGTGATTTTTTACGGCTTTTTGCAATGAGACAGAAGCTCGAGTGAAATTCCAATATAGAGACGGGCTTCCTGCGCAACTACTTGTTTCGGCAGCCGCGTGCAATCATGAGACACCGGTACACCTCACGATGTGCATCGCATGAAGTTACAGCTCAAAATAGGTGAAAATACGCCCTCCAAATCGTTTCTTAACAATAGCTTCCAGTTTCATGTAGGGAGAGTGATATCACAAGCATGATCGTTGTATCCCACGGCAACCATCCCTTTCCATATCTCTTGAATTTATATCCATTTTATTCGTTGTAATAGCAGTTTTTTATTTATTTTTTACTTTCAACGGCAGGGGATGAGAGGGAATAAGCCAGGGAGCACGTCGTGAGATAGATCGCAGCTGCGACCAGAGTCAACTGTGCGTTGCTCAATTTTCAGGGATCGTACTTGAGTTTTTCGGAGTAAGGGGGGGGGGGTTGCATTAAAGATTGCTCCAGATCAAGAGATAGGAAAAGGGGGTACCCCCAATATCATACTAATTTTGACATCAGCATCTTTGGTGCAATTCTCCGACAAATTGCTGCAACATTTTTTTTTGCACAGCAGAAATCGCAGTGGCCTGTTTCCTTCGAGGTCGACAAACAGAAGTAAAGTAACGTAAATGAGTAAAAGCAGGTCGTCTCCATTGCATAAAACAAGCTAGAACGTGGGGAATGTGATTTTCAAAATGGTGAGATGTCGCGGCACGCCCTAATGAATTTTTTTGGACTTTCCAGCTCTTTCCGTATAACAAGAAACACAGAGCAAGTGCGATTAGTTTAGGAGGAACCCTCTCAATAGTTTGTGCAAACGTGCTTCAACCAGAACGTTCGGCTAATCGTTGGCGTTGTCCAATCTCCGATCACCACCCTCACAATCTTTAGGGCTCTCGCTATTCTTACAAAAGCTTTTTGAACAATTGCTTCAGACCATATTTATTGCGAATCTCAGCCAAGTGCGTCTATAATATCTTGACCTGCTTCCTCTCCATACTGGCCTTTTTGAGCTAGAAAAAGGAAATCATGCAAATCTGCTCTTCGAGTATGCCGTATTCAAGGCTTCAAAAGAGTGTTTCAAAAGTGTGAATAGAACGATAAACAAAGCTGACCACACTATCAGATAGTACAAGAAAAGCTCTTCAAAATGATATATTGAACGGTGGCAGCTTCCTGTGTCGAAACTAAAGCGCTCATAAAACAACAAAAAGCGCAAAATCTTTCTACACGACCTAATGAATTATTGGCTCTTATCAAATCATATCACTTCCTGTTACCCGTCAAGAAGGCTAGCTAGGTGCCACATTTTGAAATTTTCATATAAATTTGATCTTTTGCACATTTCTGTAAACCTTGCTAACTAGAGATATTATGAAGCTTGTTCATAACTACCGGAACGTTAAAAAGGTTTGATGTGCGCAAAGTAAAGGTGGCACCCACTATTGAGTACCATTGTCCCACGCGGTGGACCAGTGGCACCCACTGGTGGGTGCCATTGTCGCAAAAGACTTAAAATGAGCAAAACATGAAGGAATATTAACAAGAAACGTGTCTGGAGAGAGTCCGCTTCCATTCGCAGCCATGCCACCTCGCCATCCTCATTCGGGTCGTTTGTTCCTGCAAGCATCCTATTTTGAACGAGAAACAGGATAGACAGCTTTAGCTGCCATACCTGCCTTCGAGGCTCGCGCATGCTTGGACATAACGACTGACCACAGTCAGGGAGCCTGCTTGAATGAGTCTCCCTCTGTGTGCATGTGAATCAAGCTGTAATCAGAGGACCAAGATATGGAAGGCAGATCTGCAGCCAATGCGCGAAGAATACACTACTAGATGCTTACACAGCAACGTGTTATCCTGGTAAGGATAAGCTGTAGCAAAACCACGTCGCGCAGCTGCTGAAAGTGTATGTAGTACAGGGAGTGTGGAAGAATGCAAAACATTGTCTCTTTCCACATATAATAAGGATTACTCCGACATCTTCAGATTCAAAACGGAGGTTCCCAACTAAGGATCTGATTCCTTGATTTTTCCGATGAACACATTCCAGTCCATCGAAAATGTTAGAAAAGCCTTCATCACTGGCGAGATCCGGAGAATTTGTCACAGGAACATGGTGCACCTGTCGAACTCAACGGGGTCCTCGACGGATCGCGGACCATCACGACATTATCTGAAAGCTGATTTCTCTAGGGATCTATCCATCGATTAAAGGCACAACCCAGGCAGAGGTCGTGTGAACGCTTCTCTTCGGTCTGTAGTATAGACCCCTAGAGGACAATCACAAATGTGGCGTTCTCGTGCACGGAAACCAACCGATAAGAGCGCTTGGGCCTTGCAAAGTAAGCTGCCCAAGCTGCTTTTTTTCTCTTATCAGGCTGTTGTCTGGCGATCTCTCATCTGTAGCGCTCTCTCGCCCCATACTCTCCTCTCCGCGCTTAGTCTCTCATTCCCTTAGCACAGCCGATTAGGAAGGTGAGTGAGCCCTTAAATTCACGCTGGAAAGGCAACCCATTTCAAATTAACTTAGGATGGTGAGTGGTACACGAAAGAAGGAAAAACCATGAGAAACGGCCCAGAACCCGAGAAATGGGACCCCTTCCTTGCCCGTTGATTTGAGCATTGATGCGACTCTCATCGCTGTGCCCTCTTCAACACTACGCTCTCTCAGCTATCTAATCACTCGCCACGTATAGACCTGCGGCGAGTGATCAGATGATCGGTGGGCGGAGATCCGCCGCCAGCTTTGAGGCATGATAGGTCACCGAGGCCGCCGAGGTCAAATTTTTCCATGCGAATTGCGCGTCAGTTCGCACCCTCAGGAGGTCCGTGGGTCCCTCAACTAGGTCAGTTTCCCTTTCTTCGACCTTCATTCTAATCGTGAATTCCTCCTTTAACCTAACGCGATTGTTTGATCGCATTCTTTTCCCTTTTTTTATAGCCGGCCCACTTCCCACCAACACATTTGCATTCGCGTACAAGAGCCACACCAGTGTAATCCTGTAGCATGCCTTTAACCTAGCGAATAATTTATATAGGCAGCTTCAGGCTAGAGCGATTACGGTAGGCCTCGACATTGAGTTCCGACGGCAGATGGCCATATGACTGCGTTGTATCCTTAAGCGACTGTGAGATGTCAAGGAGGGCCTGCTTCTGCACACATATAAGAGTCACGGATGCCTAGTCCGAAGAAATCTGCCGCTAAGCTTCCGCGGCAAAAGTTTCTGATGGCTCGGATTGGGCGAAAATGGACTTTTTCTCTTTTCGACTTTGTTGCTCCAGCTCTGCATAAATGAAATCATGGAAAAGGAATGTTCTCAGAATCCGATAGATAAGTCCTACTGAGATAAATGCGCTTTGCGGAGAGAGCGCTACTCTAGAACAAATACCCCTTACAGCTTAAGCCAATTCTTGAAAACCTAGTATGAGAGTGCTTTCAGTAAATGAAAGCTCTTTCACGCACGAGATTCGACTCTGTAAAGAAGAGGTTTTTTTAAGAAGTCATTTTTTCAACCGTTACTGAAAAGCTTCGACTTCTGGAAGCGAGTGTCTCATACGCAAATATTTCAAACGAAATAACACCAACACTTCTAAAGAGGTACACTATCTGTCGAAAAACGTCTTTTATGCACGACATACAAAATCGCTTTCTTTGTTACTATAATTATTATATTTTTGAATCACTGATGAACGGATGCGCATTCGAGCTCAAGCAATATGTGGCTGAGTTCACGTTCATGAAGGACGGCGTTCGGCAGCATCGCGCCGGCAAGATTCTGAAAATATCAAAATTCTCAAGATTAATTAGAGCAGTCAGAATCGACGATTGCATCACGTACAGCACACGTCTTGAAGTCGTGTAGCGCCTTTTTAATTGCTTCAACGACGTCGTGCAGAGCTTCTGTGACTGACGGATCCGTCTTGGCCAGCCGACGCAGTCGGGTGCTATCGGATTCGGCACTCATCTAGGGCATGAAAAAAATTAGGAGAGAATATTACCAACCGAAGTTTTGCCCTGTAACACAAAAGCTGTACCTGAGCCTCTTGCTTCTGTCGGAGCTCCTCAAACCTTTCCAAGAGGTCTTGATAAAGCTTTAATGGAATTATTAATGTTAGGCACGAAAGCTGGAGAAAATTTAGCATAAGAAGCACCTTACTCATTTCCTTCAGAGCAGTACCCTCATCAATTTGCAGATTGCTCTTTTCTTTCTTACGTCTCCTCGGGTCAGCGGTTTCTGCTGAAACTTTTTGTGGGGTTGATGAACCTGATTTGATTTCCACTTTATTTTCCTGATATTTAATTTCGTTGTAGGAATCGGCCTTCTTCGAGCCAACCAACTCGACTTTCTTTTCTTCTTCGAACTTCTCTCTCTTCTGCTCCTCTAGTCTGTGACGTTTTCGGGCTTCCTCCTCTTCTTTCATTATCATACTTTCTTCTCTCTGCACTCGTTGCTGCTTGAGCCGTCGAGCAAGAGGAGACGTCGCCGTTCTGGTGAATGGAATAGACCTTACTTTCATCTTTATAACGGAATATATTTTATAGACTCAGGATGCTGCCCATCCTTCAGGGATTCTCGATAAGCGAATGGCAAACTCAACTGCCTTTAGTCCTGGCGGGTCCCACTTCCAAATAAGCAAAGAGTAGGAACACACACCACTGAGAAGGTGCTATATTATAGACGACCCCGCTTACACGATCAGCGTTCAGAGGCAGGTGAAAAATAAATAGGATTCCCAAGAAAGCACTCACTATGTAGGAATGCTAGGCTCCTGGAAGGAGACTAGGCCCCTGGAAGGAGACAGGAGACTTTGGCACTTTCGCTGTTGAGGACGCGCCTGCACGTAGCTTATACATGTAAGCGATAAGTCGTGGCAAAGACTGCCTTCGTGCTAGCTCTCGCCTCCTAATTAGTGAACGGTGACAGAAATGTGGTGAATGTCGCTGTACTGCTATCACATTCGCATTCGCTTTCTCTTTCACACTGTTTTTACTAGCCCATCCGTATCTTTCAGCGTTGGAGAGCGACATGCTGTCTAGCGAGTGGAGTGATCGTCGTGGGACGGAGCTAGAGAGACTGGTGAAACTCCGAGAATAAATGGACGCTGCTTACCCACTCCTCTCCTAGTCCGCACCCCGCCCCGAGCTTGGTGCTTAGGTCACTAGTCGGGGGGTTGTTTCCATATAATGAACTTTTGCATAATGATATTCACACTCGACGGACACAGTGCAAAGGAAAGGGAAACATTCCCCCTAGGAACTTTCGTGATACTACGTAAAGCGGTGCGAGATTGCCTCTGGGCTTTTCACAAAATGGCTTCGGTGTCGCACACAGTCAAGTTCTCCTGAGAGATACGGATAGAATGCGGTTGGACATCTACCCGTTCTTCTTTCTTTGCCAGGAACGACAACTAAGTACGGCATCTGCGCCAGCAACAGAATTGCATCTAGTACATAAACACGAGAGAAGGCCGCGTGTGATTGAGGTGCAAGATGATTATCACTGGCTCGGAGCTGGCGAAACCGGATTTACAACGTTCGACTTGAATTCCATGGCAGATAATGTTGACGTGTTTTTGAACTAGTGACGACAGCATCCACTGCAATGTCCTGTCTTCAGAGTCGCGAATGATAAGTGCTGCCTATTGGAGCTGCTCAATACGGTTGCAAAAATTTTGCAGAAACAGCTCCAAGTCAATAGACTCCACGGCAGCACAGTTTGCACGCACCTTCGGTCAGACATCAGAGAGTTCTAACCTTGCTGACAAATACAGTGACCGGCAGGTTGGTGCTCCACTCCTGGTCATCATGATTTGTCAGATTGTCGGGTCGCTCACCCGATCCTAGTCACAAAATGCTTGACTCGGATTAGGACAAGACCAAATATATTAACACCAGTTTAGCTCCGCCCGCTACCGCGCGCATTGATAGAACTGACAATCGATGAAGCTTTAGGTTTCACCGCTAAATTATAGCTGCTTCGTTAAATGTATTACTGTCCGTTGCATAGGCTGCCCATCTTGGCTGTATCTCACTGTTTGATAAGCGCAGTGAAGTGCACAGCTAAAGTGATGATGTAAACAACCACTATGCGTCGAGTATCGAGGTAATTTAGCGGTCGAATATCTCAAAACGGAATGCCTAGTATTCATTATCATATTTATTCGAGCATCCCATTCATCCTCAAGAACTCTAGAAGGTGTAGCGGTCGAAAGGGTTTGAGGGTGTAGCGGTCGGAAGGAGTTTACAATTACAACGCTGATGAAATGATATTGAAATGAAAGGCATTATCTACAATCTGCTCTCTATTTTCTATTTCAAGTGCTCTCTACGTTCGTACGCATATCGTTATATCAGTCCTCATCAGTCGTTATCACTTGGTGACCCCCACCAAATATGTTTGCGTCCCACCCCTATATCATGTCCCAAAATCAGCTCCTGACCACTGCTGCGAAGCGCACTATGAATTTCGTGAAATTTGTATTTCAGCGCCTCTTATCTACTCTTATCAGTCGTTATCACTTTGTGACCCCCACCAAATATGTTCCCGTCCCACCCCCTATATCATGCCCCAAAATCAGCTCCTGACGACTGCTGCGAAGCGCACTATGAATTTCGCGACACTTGCGTTCTAGCGCCTTTTATCAGCCCTTATCACTTGTTATCACTTTCTGTACCCCACCAAATATGTTCCCGTCCCACCCCCTATATCATATCTTGAAACCAACTCCTGACGACCACTGGTGCCCGAGCTATGAATTTCCGGTCAGACAGACAAACACATACACACACACACACACACACACACAACGCCCGCTTAGCCGATTATATATAGTAGGATTATACCTTTTTTGCTCGCTCGCCTATCGCGCGCATCACACGCAGCTGGGAGCGAAACGGAGACCCATGGAATATCAGCATGAGGTACTCCATTAACCACCTCACTATTGAATGTGTTAGACCTTTCCCAGTTTCGCTGAAGTCCATCGAGAATACGCGTGATAACGTCTGGAGCTGAGCTGGCATATTTATCTCACAACTGTAAACATCCAGCATTCTTCTTGAATTCAGATAATTAAAGGAATTTCCACGGAAAGTACAGAAAACGATACCTTAAAGGAATCTTCCACGGAAAGAGTGATCATTTTGTTCTTGTGTGTAGGATTAGTATTATCGAAACTAACGCTTATGTTCCGTTCTTTTTGCTATGCTCATGAGGCTAGGGGCCTAAGGTATCGTTTTTCTGTGGTAATGGAGGCGGAGCTTTTTCCGTGGAAGATTCCTTAGCGGTGAATAGGATTGCTGTCAGTCTCAAAATGAAAATGAAATATGCCTATTTACATAAGTGAGGAGCTAAGGCTTATCATTTATTTACATTCACCATTATTTAGAACCCCGAAAGGATTAGCGGTTTAATGAGTTTGGGCTTTCTTGATATTGCATTAGAAATGAAACTTATCATTTGCTGAAGACTTGATTGAGTTTATGCAATCGACTGCTAAGTAAGCTGGTCATACAATGATACAATGTGCACGTACCACTACAAATTTGTAAGTAGGGACGCTCTGGTGTCAACGCGAGCTGGGTAACGGAATCGACGACTTTTGCGTTCTGACGCGATCTTATCAGCCCTTATCAGTTGCTATCGCTTTCTTCTTTGAGAGGGGGGTGAATAGGATTTCTGTCCAGTCTTCAAATGTGTGAAAATGATACGGCCTATTGGAATTACGTGTGAGGACTTAAGGCTTATCATTTATGTGTTGAATAATTTCCTCTTATTTGCAAACCACCGCGAGAACGATTTTAGCGGAGGTTTATGAGTTTGGGCTTTCGTGATGATTGCATTGGGAATGAGTTTATTCTGCTGAAGACTTGATTGGGGTTATGCAGCTTGAGTGCTAGTAAGTGTAGTGGTAATCCCTCTTTTATTATAGGTTAAGCGCTTTTAAGTGCTGTCTGCTATGTCTGTCTGTACGTGTGTCTGTACGTGTGTGTGTGTGCGTGTGTCACGAAATTCATAGCACGCGTCGCAGCAGTCGTTAGGAGCTGATTTTTTGATATGATATAGGGGGTGGGACGGGAACATATTTGGTGGGGGTCACAAAGTGATAACGACTGATAAGAGCAGATAAGAGGCGCTGAAAACAAATTTCACGAAATTCATAGTGCGCTTCGCAGCAGTCGTCAGGAGCTGATTTTGGGGCATGATATAGGGAGGGAACGAGTACAGGTTCGAAGGTATGTGGCGTTTTAACGGGGAAATTTTATTTCGATGAGGTCGTTTGTCAAAAAGTGATAGCGAGAGGACTGATAGGAACGATATGCGTACGAACGTAGAGAGCACTTGAAATAGAAAATAGAGAGCAGATTGTAGATAATGCCTTTCATTTCAATATCATTTCATAGCAGCGTTGTAATTGTAAACGCTTTCCGACCGCGGGTTTACTTTTAGAGTTTCTGGGCCCATTGAATGGGGATGTTGAATAAATTTATGGGGATAAACAGACATTTACTTGTGGCTATTCGGTGTTTGGGTATTCGAGGCTGTAAGCATTACCTTTGATACTGCGGACGGCATAGTGGTGGTATTTCATCATCACTTCTTATTGCTGTGCGCGCACTGCGCCTTACAATTCTGAGATTTGACCAGATGGGAGCTCTATGTAAATGACCGTGATACATTTAACGAAGCAGCAGTAGAATTTGTGGGAGCGAGGCGGTGACTGAAAGGTCTCATCGAACTGTCAGTATCTATTCAATGCGCGTGTGGCGGTTAGCGGCGGCAAGCTAAACTGGGTAAAATTGATACAGTGGTCCCCGGTCCTTATTCACATAACACTGGTAGGTATGGTTGCGCTTTGGTGGCCACGCATGAGCTGGGTGAACGGAAGGGTGGCCGCTTTTGAGTTCGGTGGACGCGCCTGATTCAGCTTTTCAGTGTTATTCACTTCAATCACCCTCATCGATGTTCCCCGTCCGGATTCATAACACTTGTAAGTATGGTTGCTCTGGTGTCAACGCGAGCAGGCAACGGAATCGACGACTTTTGCGTTCTAGCGCATCTTATCAGCCCTTATCAGTTGCTATCGCTTTTCATCATGTACCACCAATGTCCCGGGACCACCCCACATAACACTTGTAAGTATAGACGCTCTAGTACCAATATGAACGACAAAACGAAATTGGCGATGCTCGCTTTCTAGCCCCTCTTATCAGCTATTATCAGTCGTTATCAGTTCCTATCACGTACCACTTGTGTCCCCATCCCACCCCCTATAACATATGTAAGAACCACTGCGCTATCGTTACTGTGACTCGAGCTATGAATTTCCGGTCAAACACACACAACACACACACACCAACAGACACACTTAGCCGCTTATATATAGTAGGATTTTCGAGGAGTTCTCCAATTCTCACGAAATTCAAAAACTGGTTATAACGGTCAACGTTGATATAGGCTGGTTAAATTAATAGTCAATATGTTAAATGTTCCAGATGAACGGAGATGCCAGAATTT